AGTGTACCAAATACTAACAAGACAAGAGGAAGGAAGTGCGAGTCTCCTGTTAGGTCAACCTCCATACGAATTGTCTTGGAGACTGTTGTGGTAGATTTCTAGTTATAATTTGTCAGTATATGGCAATTAATTTGACTACATCCACATCGTTTTACCATTCACTGATATCTGAGCGTCATAAACCATTTTTATTAATAGATAGATAGATAGATAGATAGATAATTTATTTGCATAACTTACAGCACACAAACAAAAGACACAAAAGCAATGTGAAAAAAGATAAAAAAGATACATGTACAAAAGATTAAAAAAAAAAAAAACCAAAAACAAAATCAGAATGCATAATAATTTTTTTTTTTCTTCATGCGTGTGCCACAGTAATGCAAAATGGCCACAACTCAGCTTTTTGCTTTGCCCTAAAAAGAGCAAAACACTGATATTCTGTTGTGGCCAAAAGTGAGCCGCGAAATACCACTAAAAAAAAATAATAAAAAAGAAAGAAATATAGATCAAATACATAGTGTGCGTTCGTTATACTCGCTATTTAGAAGAAGGGTAGTCAGAAGTTAATTTCTATCAGTTTCAAGCACTCAAAACAAAATGAATACCCAAATTATACAAATACAACTAGTTACATAAAAGCATATTAAAGAGGCAACAGCAGGCATGCCCATCGCCAGACAGCGATCCCTCCCAGACAACCCAAGGATGGAGAGAATTAAATTGTGTCTGTTAAAGGTGTGACAGAAAAGTAATAAGACTAAAATATGAGAGAAAAAATGGGTAAGAATCACTTTAAACACAGTATAAACAATATAAATAAAATAGACTTACATATAATCATAATAATAATTAAATCCTTATAATATACTAAAAAGATAAACGCAAATAAATAATACATATGTGTATATGAGTATGCATATATTGGTGTATTAAGTACTACGACGGAGAAGAATAAAAATGTACTGTACAAAGGGAGACAGCTTCCGCCACCGATTTTTGTTTTTCTAATAGCATTTCTTTAATATTTTTCCTAAACGTATGTAAAGATGTCATTATTCTGAGGGGCGGTGGGATATTATTCCAACATTTCGTGGCCTGATAGCGAAAGCTGCCGGTAAATGCCACAGTTTTATGACATTGAAGTGACAGTGGTGGTCGCACTGATCTAGAATGATACCTATCATAAAAAGTGGAGAACTTCAACTTACAGTGAAGATATTCCGGATTTTTAAATTTCATTACACCAAATAACAAAGTAGCTAAATGTAATTGTCGCCGGGATTCCATATTGAGCATAGACGCCATATTCAAGTAGGGTGAAATGTGACTACGAGGAGAAATGTTGAAAGAAAACCTACAACAGGCGTTTTGAACTTTTTGTATCAAACGCTGCGTTTTACGAAGTAAACGAGGGCCGTACACTAGGTCACCATAATTGAATCTAGATAAAACTAAGGACTCGCATAAAGTGATGCGAACTTTAACCGATAACAAATGGCGAATTCTGTATAAAATTTTTAGACGATAGAAACAATTCTTAACCACATTCGAAATATGGCTTTCGAACCTTAATTGTTCATCAAATATAACACCTAAATTTTTAGCTTCCTTCACGCGTTCTATATTACTGCCCAAGATACATAAAGATGGATTATTGTTTAAGATATTAACCACTTGTTTCTTGGTTCCTAAAATCATCCATTTTGATTTATCTGGATTAAGTACTAAGGAGTTTTTGCTTGACCACTCTGCGATTTTATCCATATCTTCATTTATCATTGACACGGCATACGGAATATTTTCAGGTGATTCAGATATATATAACTGAACGTCATCAGCATAACAGTGATATCTACAGTACTTTATCACATTAACAAGATCAGTACAATATAATGAAAACAGTAACGGCCCCAGGATAGAGCCCTGAGGGACACCACAATCAACCAATTTAGATTCAGAAATTAAGTAATGTCCATTGGCTTTAACAAGTTTAACTGATTGACGTCTACCTTTTAAATAGCTTTCGAACCATCCAATCGAAAGAGGATCTACACCGTAATAAGACAACTTAGAGAGTAAAAGCGATAAATTAATACTATCAAATGCGCGCGAGAAATCCAATAGCGCCAAGATAGTACCACACCCATTATCCTCTGCAGATAATATATTGTCAGTAACATCTAGTAGTGCAGTTACTGTACCCCGCCCCTTACGAAACCCTGACTGAAATTCTGGTAGAATGTTGTTCGATTCCACATATTTCACTAACTGTTTATGTACGACCTTCTCCAAGATTTTCGATAAAAAAGGCAAGATACTTATAGGCCTGAGATCTTTGAATTCAGTTGGTTCAGTAACTTTGGGCAATGGGGTAACCAACGCTTCTTTCCATTGTTGGGGGACGGCATTATTGAGGATGGACTTATTAATAATGGCTGTAATAATTTTTAGTGTTCGAGGAAGAGTAAGCAGTATCATATCTCTATTAATGGCGTCTGACCCAAGCGAATTTGACTTTAAAGATGTTATATAAGTAGCAACTTCGCTTTCGTGTACAGGTTGCAACCTAAAAGATTTATTATTATTTGAGAACTGATGATTTTTAAAAAAGTCTATAACAGAATTAGGGACAGTGCGTCTATTAGGAATATTAAGAAAATGAGAGTTAATTGCATCAGGATTATCAAAAGACGAAGGGAGAGAATCACTCTTGCCGGGATCAACTAATATTTTATTTTTAAGAGCTTTCCAGAAACTCTTACTATTGTCAATTTGAGAATTTAGATGATAATTAAAATATGCTTTCTTTTCATTAGCTATACTACTCTTTACTAACTTCTTCAAAACTAGGTAATAACTTTTATGGACCTCTGAACCTGACCGTCTATATTTATCGTATGCAGCATTACGTAAATCCATCATCCGCCTACAGTTGTCAGTAACCCATGGCAAAGACTTATTATCCTTAATGACTCGTGTTTTAACTGGAGCATATTTATCATACAATGATTTAATCGTTGTATTAAATCTATCAACCATAGCATCGACAGACGGAAGCTCGCCAATACCTTCCCAATCAATAGAATTTAAATCGCGATTAAAATTGTCAAAATCAATATTCTTTATGGGTCTATAAGTAATAACTCTGGGTGAGGATTTTGTTTTTTTCAAGGAGAGTACCACGTTAATCATAGCATGTCCAAGTGAGTCTTGTATGGTATTAACAGAGACTTCACGGACTACGGCATTTGTACATACTAAATCTATTAGAGTTTCTGTTTCTGTTGAAAAATGGGTAGGTTCATTAACTACTTGCTTAAGATCAGTGTAATGCAGAAACTGAATTATTTTTGAAGTATTACAGTACAATGTGTCCAACATATTAACATTAAAGTCACCTAGCAATACGACATAATCATGGTTGGAGAAACACGAAATTGACTCCGTCAAGGAATCCAAAAAGATATCTAAATTGACCCATTGTGGTCTGTAAGCGGTTCCTATAAGAATTTTATATCCATTAACGCACATAGATAGCCACATTTGTTCAATATCTGCTTCCGAATGCTTAAGAATACGTACACGGAGTTCACGCTTGACGTAAAATGCTACACCTCCTCCTCGGCCGCCACGCATTCTCGTAGGGCGAGGAGTACTAAGCAGTCGGTAATTAGGTACAGCGGGTGCGCATCCCTCCTGGCCCGGTCGCAGCCAAGTTTCATTTATTGCGACTATGTCAGCATTATACTGTGTCATAGCCACTTGGAAATTATCATGACCTGTATTTAACGAGCCGGCATTGTAAAGACCTAATTTGAGGTATTTATTTTTAGGGATTAGGCCGAGTACGGTACAAAAAGATAAATACATAAATACAATAAGGGTATTTGAGTATAAATAATATAATGATTAATTTGCTGATATGTGGGTATTTCTGTAAATATATGTAAATAAATAAATACTCACATAGTAGGTAAGTGACTGTTAGGGATGCCATTCGACGAGTGACAGTAATACATGTGTGCTTGCTGTTACATTTAAGCATGGTAAAAAAGTTAGTGTGGAATATAATATCAGGTAATACAAACGAGAGCGCACGATACATCAGGAGCAACATTGTACTGTGATGGTTTCCTTCCCTATAATTTTGCATTGCTGTTACAGCATACATTATTGCGGTATATTTGTAAGAAGTAAAAAACGATAAAAGTAAGATTTTTGTCAGGATTACATATATAGTATTGTCACAAATATATAACAAATAATAGATTAACAAATAACATGATGGTTTTTGATATATATACATGTTTGTGACATAATTGGCATAACACACATTCTGATAACAAATAATAATAAATAATAACAGCTCAATCGGTAAATAAAAAATAAAAAAATATCCATATCCTCTCTTAAATTTCCTTTTTATGAGATTAAAGTAAATAGTCGTAAATATAATTATCAAAAAGAATATAATGTGCCGACATATAGTGTATTTAAATAGCTGCATCACATATATGCAGATATTTATTTCGTCTATTGTAACAGCTCTAAGAGGTAGTAAATTAAACAATTCACAAGTATAACAGAAGCATTGATATATTATTTTAAAACATGTTATTATAACTTTGTAAGAAATTGGCGAATAAAATATTAGTAAGATAATGATTACGAGCATGTAGCATTTCACGGTGCATTTATACAGTCGGCGTATATAATGAGGTAAAATATTAGCTACTACAATAATAGTACTAAGTAGATTAAAGCGATTGAATTCATAATTATAATAAGTACATATAATTTGTTTATTAGGGCCTGTTATGACTGTGTAATAAAAATCATAAAAACTTAATATCAAAATTTGTAAATTTATAAATATGTGGCAGTCAATAATACAAATAAATGGCCTGAAAATATTAATATTAACCCCCTCCGCCACCGCACAGAACAAGTAGCTATACAATAATTCAATGCTAAAATGACCAATAATTGTATTATTACTAGATTTTAATTGAACTAACATTGTCCTGTCCAAAAACCCTCACAAGATCAGGTACTGAGCCGATACGGTGACGAACAGTACCATTTTCATTATTATGACGCACAAAAATTTTACCGTTTCTAGTCCAAACAAACCTCCAACCACACCGCTTAGCGACATCACGGGCCTGATGAAACACATAACGGTTAATTCTAGTAAGTCTCTCATTTACATAGAATCTACAAGATGGGCCAGGAAGGCCAGCGTCCCCGGTGGTGGCACCGCGGCGTATACGGGCTTCGTGAAGGAACTGATCACGCAGAGTACGCCTGGCCAACCGAACCACGATAAGCCGGGGCCGTAGTTGGTGTGTGGGTCCATCCGAGGTCCTCAGCACCGACCCCACTCGTGACGCACTAACCACATCCTCCTCAGACAGTTTAATTCCTAATTTAGTTGCCAGCGTTAGTGTAACATGTGTCACATTTTCACCTTTCTGCTCCGGGACACCAGATATTTCAATGTCATTGAGAAGGAGTTCCTGGTCCCGATCATTTAGTTCTGCTTTAAGCTGCTCAATAGCCTTCATCAGCGTATCCTCACATGATGTAGCACTCGAGCTACCCTCGCAGATCTGACGTTCTAAATTGTCAACACGAATAGACAGTCGATCAACGCGGGCATTGCAATTATCCAGCCCTGTCGACAACCTAGCCATATTCTCATTGAGTAATTGCATTTGGATTCGTGATGCAGACAACTCTTCTCTGAAACGACGTATCTCGAGCGCCAGCATCTGTGTGTCCGTTATATCATCTAAATCCCCGCGCATAGGGGCATCCGACACGATAGACATGTTGAGCTGATCCACTGGACTGACTGCGGCAGCTCCTCTACGAGTCATAACCCCTTGAGTTACAGTACGAACTGGCGTATCAGTGTTGTCAGTTTTAGGCTGTTTACTGACACATAAGGGGCACTTCCATGCGGCACGATGCTCGTGTGACATGGCATTGCAGAATGATTTCTCGGCCACATCAGCACAATGGAGATCGTAAGCTTGTTTACAGATGCTGCAGCTCAAAAACAGATTATTCTCGATTTTCTTAAAACATCCAGCACATCGCATCACTCCAGAAGACATCCCGACAGTAAATTGGTGCCGAAGCTATAATGCTAGAAAATGCGGTGAAGCAATCAGCAGAGGCCGAACAAACTCCGATATTGATAGAAGTACGTTCACAAAATAGAAAGCTGCACAATATTTCGCGTTGTGTGATGACAAACTGTCGCGATAGGTTGTTTACACTTTCAACAATTAATAAACTTTTGAAATTGTGAACATAAAATACGTATAATGATTAACTGTGTAGGTAGGTAGTTGCGGTCTATGACTTGTATACTTATTCCACTCACTTTACACTTGAACTACTACGTATATAGTCGTGCTATTTACACTAATTTGAAGCAATATAATCGAGTAACAAATTAATATATATCCTATTTACTGCACTCTAGGTATATTTATTTATTATTTAAAAAAACTGTTAAGACGTTCAAAACATGTCCAATCCCTTTGACAGCTCGGACTACCCTCCTACTTAATATTATAAATGTAAAGTGAGTTTGTTTGTTTCTTATCTCTTGGGGTCTTGACGGCTTAATCAATCACTTATAACTTATACAATTGTATCGTCACATCTATTAGTTTTGCTTATACCCAATATTGTATAATGCAAATAAAGTATACTAATTCATTCATTTACTATGAATTTTTGTATACAGGTATAGGACGGAGAAGGGTCATCAGTGGAGCTACGGATAAAAACTAGTAAGTACATAATTTTTTTTGTTTCTTTTTATTTAATTATTATTACAAAAATTCAGAATTACAGAAAACATATTCATTAGCATTCAGAAACTACGTAGGTTTAAATTAATGCTAAATACATTAAGACTATTCAACTTGTATTAACATCATGCAAGAAGTATATTATAGTTGTATTGTATTATCTTTATTATACATAATTTATATAGGATATATTAAAAGATTTAATATACAATTGCGGACTTATCCGATAAAGGGATTTCTTACAGTCAACCTTTAAGGAGCTGAAAGAAAACTGTTAAATGTACAAAGGTAAAAACCGCTAAAGCCGCTAAAGATAAACTAAGTAATATCTAGTAAAAATTGAATATATAATAGTTATATAAAAAACTTTCGTTTAGCATAGCTGTTGTGTGTAACGTTTAGCATAACTAATATACTCGTATGTGTACTACATATACGGTGTACATATAGTAGTTTACAATACGAACTACAGAGACAACCGGAGAACTCGACAGTACAATCAGATATTATTCTAACAACGAGAATCTAGCGTTAAGTTATGGCAATCTTTGCGTGAAGGGGCGACACGACTGGTATTCTATTTCTACATCTCTTTTCTTTCGATTATTGGCGTGAGCCCGAATTATTTGCATATCTTTGCTTAGCTTAGCTGTCAGTATGACCTGTGTTTAATACGATAAACGAAAAGATTCTACGGATTATGACTTTTATATTACATACCTAAATTTTATTTGCCATAAATCTGTGGAGTATGGTAACCTTTTATTTAAAAATATTCTATAATTCAGTCTATTCAACGATTACATACTTTGTACAGAAGTTGAGCAATGAAATGATGTTTCGGGAGGTACCTGTAACAAGAAAAATTTCTAATAAATATAATATCGAGTATGTAAAATGATAATGCGATGATCATGCTGTTTATAAATTATATTTATCATGGCTAAGACATAAGACATGAATTACTTTCCTACTAAAATTATAAATATAAATGTGAGTTTGTTTATTTAATTGTTATTTCTTACCGTCTTAATGATTCAACCAATCGCTAAGAAGTTTGGTAACTTGTAGTATTAAGAACGGAACGGTATTCTCTTGGTTACGCGGACGATACCGCGGGTAAAAACTAGTATCTTGATATATTATACATATATTTATATTATTGGATACGCAGGCAATATTGTTTTGAGCCAATTTCTCTACAATCCAATTGGATTGACAATTTCAGGGATTTGTGCCTTCCGCCTCGTACCGGACACAGTATCCAACTTATGGCGGACGTCTGCCATCAGGATGCAAACGAGCGGTCTGTATGAATTATTCAATAATTGAACGGCGTTTGGCAAGTCATCGATATTCATGCGAAGCGTAATTTGAGGTAAGTTTTTGGAACTATCATCAGTAGATAAGCGCTCGGCAGGATTGCATTAGAATCTTAACAGCACATAGTGTATTCTTTGAAACTTCTGTTCTTCTCTGAGCTTCATTTAATTATTGGGACCATACTTGGCCTGAAGAGACCTTTCGGTTATCAGTAATTCTTGTGAACAATAAAATAGTAAGTTTATTAAAATTTGGTTAATCTTTTGGATATAAGCGAGTATGTCAAGATGGGGTTGGAGCAATTGTACCTGTTTTTAAATATTACGAAATTTAAATTGTTAAAGCTTACTCTACACTATATCTGCATATAGCAATGTTGTCTGTGTTTAAGTTTAAAATTGTGAAAATGCACTCGCGTGCGGTTCAATAGATAGGTACTAAGTAATTTAGTGCTTTTAGCTTTTAGTCACCGTACTACAATCGCTGCACTGCTCTGGAATATTTGTTTGTTAAAAGCGTTACAATTTGCGGGTAAATCTTTTATTTACATTTCTATTTTACATTTGACGGATGTTACTCATATGTAAATTGTGAAAATATACATTTAAACAATAATATAACGTTATTATTACTTTATGGCATTGGCATTACTTTGTTATTATTTTATGGCAACATAGGTCATAAAATATATAATAACAACTTATGTATATATCTATTTTGATCTGTACTTTATACTAGTCTATTTTAGTTGATTTTTCTAATTGCTATTGTATATTTATGTTTTTAGTACAATAAAGAGAAATAAATAACTATTTATTATATTTATTTAATAAAGTTCCCCTACAACTTCTACATTTTACACGCTACTTAATCAATAACACAAAAAATAATTTTGCTTAATGTAAAAGTTTTTTACAGGCGAACACCACATGCAACAAATAACCATAATTGTTTATTATAAATAATTGTTTATAACATACATATTGTTTGAGATACTGAATTTTTTTATCTTGTCTGATGGTAAACGGGGTTACTATAGTCTAAGGCCACTTGTAACACCAGGGATGTCACGTGCGCATTGCTGACCTTTAAGAAAACTTATTACACTCTTTTTTAAGACTTCTATATAATCAGTGTTGCTTAGTTGTCATACAAATGAATGATCATCATCTCAGCCATTATTTGTCCACTGCTAAACATAGGCCTCCCTAAAAAACTGTCATAAGGAACGGCACAGAGCTACCTGCATCCATTGACTCTCTGCAATGCATTCGAAATTAATAATGTAATATTATTACATGTATTATGTTAAATATAATAATTATCTAAACAAATTCTCTCTTTTTCAATAGTTTTTGGTTTTTCGTTAACAATCACCAAATAACTGGCAAATACTATGAAAAAAGTAAAATAATAAAATTAAGTTAATTTGATTCGATTATGCTTCTGTCCAGATTCCAGATAAACTCCAGCTCAACAAATATATTCCAGTCATGCCAGGTCTGAATCTAGTGCTCGATGGAGTCAAATTAAATAAACGTTCTATTGGCCACAGTCTGCTCTGTTATAGTTTCTATACAATTTAGCTTTGATAAGCATTAAGCTCTATTCACACTCCATACTCAAACTGCTTAGCAATTTGCTAACAAATTACGCATTTAATATTTTTCTAATTAAACGTTCTTTCAATTATTATATATAATATAATCAAATAATAATAATAATTTATTTCCCGTGTAGTCCTGGCATAGAATAAGCCACCCTTTCCTTTCCCGTGGGTTTCGTAAGAGGCGACTAAGGAGGGCGAGGGATGGTCAGCAACGTCCTTCTTAAAACATTTCCAAAGTCTAACTGCGGTTGTCTATCCGCCTGCCAAGTATGGCAACTACTGGCAAAACCCCCCAGGGGGAGGGTTAAGTTCAGTAGTGGACAGTTAAAGGCTAATATGACGATGTTGATTTATTTACTTTTTCATGAAATGTATATAGTAACCATATTACTTTAAGTTTAGGGTTAAATACATGTCTAATGATTTTGTTTTAGAAATTATATGCTTTTTTTCCTCTATAATACATTGATTGTAACTTTTGTTGCTTTTTAAGAAGCTCGATGCAGCGATTGCACGTAGCACATTCAGAGGCTAGTACAGTAGTGATTTAGTATTGTATTGGGAAAAATTTTATAATGCTAATAGTGTATGTGTGAATCGATATTATATAATGTAGGATTAACATATAGTAATATCTATATATTGTATTTATATATTGGCTTAATAATGGATATACTAAATATCGTGCCGTTCGTGATACTGATATTATCTATGCTTAATACAAACATGAACAATTATTATGGATTTTTATAACATTATTAATATATTATGATACAGTTTTATAATCATGATAACGCGATTACAAAACGGTGGATCGTCGTGTCAGATAAAAGCCTGTAATATAATACAATTATGGTTAATACCCATTTCCGAAGGTCTCCCGCTTGTACAGGCAACATATTGGACAATATATTAGCTGTGCCTGTCTTTATATTTAATTTTTAACATTTTGCTAAAGCTTAATATATCCTGCGTGAGCTACATAAACGATAAGCGTGTTATATATTTTGCCTATTTTTAAACGGCGTCGGCAAGGATATTACTGCGTTTTAGTTATTAAAGTCAGAGGCTTAAAATCACCAATATATTTTTAGAATTCTTAGAAGCTAGTTATTATCTATTAGCTAACTTAATTGACTATTTAAAAATTCTTGTGATCAAGTTAATTTGAATAAAGACAATTTATATTCTGTTCGGTGTGTAAATTTTCTTTAAAATATTCAGTGGACTAAATATAGACAACTGAGAAAGTGTCTAAAAAAATTTGGAATGTTATATTATACGTAGAGTATTTTTTTTTTATCATTTAGTGAATTTTATTTTTTTTTCGTTTTCATAACGCACAGGATTGTCGTACAGTTTTTACAGGACGAAAAATTGCCAGTGTTGAATTGTCGTAATATCCTTGTGCTTGTGTATATAGGATGTTTTATAGGTTAAATATAAAGAGTTTTACACACTCTTCTAATAGGGCCGATTAAAGGAGGCACAAGTTACACAAGGGAGTTTAACATCAGTCATTTAAGCATAAATTATGACAGGTAATGCATTTAGTTATTAAATATTCTATTACTTCGGCATTTTTTTCTAAATAGACTGACAGTATTTGCTAAAACTCGAGCCAAAAGAGCTGAGTATAATTATATATATATATATATATATATATATATATATATATATATATATATATTTTTATTTATTTATTTATTTATTTGAAAATTTATATATATATATATATATATATATAATTATATATATATATATATAGACAGATTATATATATATATATATATAGGACAGAGTGGTAGACTGGTTGAAAGAAAAGAACTACGATGAGACGGAAAATCTATTA